GTTGAGAATGATTTTTGCGAAATTATTGCATACACAAATTTTCGCTTGCCTTATTCTGCAAGAACAGCGTTGCAGTTTAATAAAAAAATAGCAAGTTTTACCTATTCGGCACGACATTACACACACACACACACACACCACACACACACACACACACACACACACACACACACACACACACACACATACATATATATGTCGTGCATACTGCGCGTCAAAAATAGGGAATTGGTTTACAGTCGTTATAGACAAATCGACTAGTGTCCACTCCGTGAATCCACCACCGCAACTTTGTTGGCGAATCCGCAATCCTAGTTAGCTTGACACTAACACCTGGCACCCCTACTACTGCTACAGCACGCACCTCACTACACTCGACTAACAGCTTAGCTACTCTCTAATCTTTAATAAGAAGCACTGGGTGATAAGTAACCTAAATTATGATTTATGATTGTTCTTATCATGAATTTTGCTGTTGATCTGTTGTGGTTTTGACAATGAGGGTGACTTTAACATTGTACTGTGGATTCGCCTACCCACCGCTCGGGTCCTTCCGCGAGGCTACATGTGATGGTGAATGGTGGTGAGAGCTAATGGTGTCACCGTTGGCGTAGATGCACTGATATGATGCTCATGTTGATGATGTTGATGGTCTTTTTTTGTACTTCTTATTAAGGTGTGCTGGTGGCAACTGCGGCGCTTGTTTGTTTGTTTGACCTTTAAACCTAGGACGGTAGGGAGAAGTAGTCAGTCGTACTTAGAGTGCATTCTCTACCCTTCTTGTTAACTCTTTACCCTTTATTTAACTCTCCTCAGTGCCACGGCGTCCTTGGCACTGCTTTGTAGGTGGATAAATATTTTGTGGAAGTGGATCACATTGTGGAACAGCACGAGTGGATTTGATTAGACATGATTTCCAATAGTTAACTGTTAGGAAGTCTTACAAAATAAAAAAGTGTTTTAATGGAATACATGTAAATGTATCAGTTCTTTGTTTGACTCTTTACCGGTTATTTTGTTTTTGTTTTATTTTAGGACTATGTTTTAGAACATATCCTGATTATAAACTTATCTCGACAGTATTATCTCACTTAGCATACTATTACAGCTCCCAGTTAATCAATAAATTAAATACATATTTTTATCGAGAAAACCTAACATTAACTTGCGAAAAAATATAAAAGGAATGTCGCAGTAGCTGTTCTAATATAAATGATCAAAGATATCGTTTAACTTCTGTAATCTAAGACCTTAGTCGTGATAAAAAAAAATGACCAAATCTCGTAACTCAAATGTCTTCTACTAACCTTGGCAATGAGTCTGTTCCCCGGGCCCTGCACTGTTACCATAATCAGTTAGCAAATCTTGGCGCACTTCCTCCTTTTCATGGTGCTCCTCCATCCTCCCCTTCCCCCATCCCCATACCAACTGGAGCAAGGCTTACTCTCAACTCACCATCCAGATTACAGGCTTGGTCTCTAGCTCATCCTGACCTTTTAGTTAAAGAGGTCTCCTGAATTGTCGCCGCTTTAATCTGGATGTAAATAAAGTGGAGTGTCTTGCTGTGGTGGCAGCCAATCCTTTTATTCTTGTCGCTCAGATTTGCTAGGCCCCCGCTGGGCTAGCGCGGTTTAGATGTACGCTAACAAGCGCTTTCCATCAGAAAGTTGGCTTGCAACGACAACGACGATGACACAGGGCCCTTGGTGCTGGATACAGCCCCTTACCATCTACCTCCAGACACCCCAGTCCGACCCCCACACTGCACCATCTCTCTAACTTCATCTCTGTCCTATTTTTTTTTTATAGTATTTTTTTTTTGTTGTGGAAACAGAAATGACCCGGGAAGCTGGCAGACTCATTCAATTTGTTTGGAATGCATATTTTGCAGACGTCTTTGAGCCCTTGCCAATACGAGGCTTAGTTTGTTTCTGATGTGCATATGCATGTGATATACTGTACATGCGTCGTGGGAGATGAAATTGATAAACCTATGTAAGCACGACATATAACTTGTGGTAAATTTCTTAACTTCTCTTAACCGACATTCGCCTTGCATATACAGTTTAAGCAAATTTAAAGAAATTGTGATAAAAATATTATTAAGGTATCCAACCTAAGTGGCACCCAAAATCTTCTCCTGTCACCGTAATAACGATGGGCGAATCTCCCAGTCCTCGCCACCTTATCCTTGCTCCCATTTTCCGTTTCTTTGCACCTTGAAGAACCTCAGTCCTGTTACCTCATCTTGACCTTCGAAACCCCACATTGACCCCACCTCTTCCTTGTCCTGCCTGAATCATTCCCAGATACATCTTTTCCTGTTTCCTTACAGTATGAAAAGGAAAATCCCACACCTAGCCTTTACCTTTAATCTTCCTTAATCCTACAACCTTATCATAGATCCCCTGAAATTTCTGGGATGAGGTGACCTATCTTAACCTTGCTCTTAAAACTCCTCTGATAAGGTAATATATCCTTACCTTGTTCCTGAAGTTCCTAGTATGGTGACCTATCCTAACCTTGCCTCTGAAGCTCCTCAGACGAAGTGACCTAATTATTCTCCTGAAGCACCTCAGATGAGGTGGCCAAACCTAACCTTGTCCCTGAAGCACCTCAGATGAGGTGACCTGTCCTTACCTTGCCCCTGAAGCACGTCAGATGAGTTGGCTTACCCTAACCTTGCCCCTGATGCAGCTCAGATGAGCTGACCTATCCTAACCTTGCCCCTGAAACACCTCAGAAGAGGTGACCTATCCTAATCTTGCCCCCTCAGCTCTTCCCATAAATAGAGCTGAGGGTGGCTTAGGAGATTCGCTCCGCCCCCGTGTGGCTCGCGTGTCTCGGCATATGGCAGCAGCATCATCAACGACAGCATCACCATCAGCAGCCAAGAGAGTCCTTAGGGGCCCTTTTATAGAGACTGCCCTAGTTGCCTCAGGTACTGGGACAAGCACACCAGGTAATGTAACCCACACTCTCCTCCACCTAGTCTATCATCCCATACTCTTACCATCATAGCTGTTTCTTTTCCACCTACCTACCTTATATTCCTTTGGCTTTTAAAATCTTACGGAAACAGAATAGATTCTGGATGTGTCATGACAGGTTGGCTCTCACGAAAATCACAAATTAAAATAATGCGTGTACATACATACATATACATACACACACACACACACACACATATATATATATATATATATATATATATATATATATATATATATATATAATATTATATTATTATAATTAATATATATATATTAATTACACACTTTTTTGTGTGTTATAACCAAATACATCATTATACTCCCATAGAAAGTTAGAGATTATGAAGCGCTTCAGTCAAAAGTTATAATAAGGAAGTTTTGGTGTAATCTGCTGATGATCCCAGACTTAATCTCATTACCGCAATTTAAGGGTGAATCTGTTCCTTAACCTCATATCCAGAATATACCTAGAATCCATCCCAATCCATTACATTTCTGTCTTTTAACTTTACTGTACCACAAACTGTTTAAGAGATGTGGCTCGGACAGCAGCTCAGAAAAGGACTATGATCGGTTGTTTCTGATTAAGCCGTTTAAAGCAGTTTCAATCGGTCACGTTAGAATGGCTGTTGCCATTAACGTATTTGTTTGGAACGATTGCGGCTTAGTTTAAAGGCTACCGATATTGCTCCTAGAAGAGCGACTTCGCCAGTGCCAATCTCTGTATACAGCGGTGGGTGTAGGATTGTCATGCTCCTGCTTCTGTGGGATTCGCCCAGACCCCCGAGTGGCAGCGCGAAGAAGAGGCCAGCGGTTAACACCAGCAACGAGAATAGTAGAAGTCAAGCACTGTGGTGGGGGAACATGATATATCTATATATTTTTTATATTTCTCTTTATGCATCTTTTTCTATTCCTGTCTTATGCTCCAGTCCTCTTCGGACCCCTCTGTCTTTAAGGGAAGAGTATTAGTTATTTGCGGAAATGGAATCAAGTGTGGATAGTTATTGGCAGATTACGTTAGGCTGATTAAGAGCCTAACGAAAGATAGACGACAGTTACCAATTTTTTTTATGCCTTTGTTGCGTATACTTAGCGAGGAAAAATATATATATATTGCATAGGGACGAAAATTCTTTATTAAATAAAATGCATTGCACAAGAGTCAGGGGTTAAATGGTACGCCTTGCACCGCGGTCTATCTTAGTTGTTATCGTACCCGAGGCAACGAGAACCGTTGACGTCAATGCGATCGTCCTTCAAAACATTCGTTGTGCGTCACGCCTGTATTAGGGTGTTCGTAAATTTAGATATCTTTGGTTCTTTGGAGCGTCAAACATTTGCAAAATTTGCGTCTATTCTTATAGATAAATGCAATTTCAGTTTAAAGTTGTCTGTCTTCAAATGGATATTGGATTTTGTTGAGGACATCTCAAGCATTATGTCACACTGATTCGAAATAAGATAAACAATAATAAATTTGTAATGTTAAGAATGCATAACAATGTATAATTAATATAAATGTTTACTCTTTGAATGGTAATTTTGATTTAGGTTTTGAAATACAGTACACTATTCTTGACCAGGCCTAAATTAAATATTCCTACTTGATTTCTGTGTAAAATATATATTTTTTCTCGATGTGATTTGTCCATATTTGTTCCCGTTTATCCTTAGATTTTCTGGATGAGTATGCAGATATGATATCTATTGTATTTATCCATTTATTAATTCATAGGTATTAAATATACCATAGTATAATTTCTTGATAACTCTACCTTTATTTTATCTTTTCTGTTCTGAACACTTAAAATATTTTACTAATATTCTGTTATACACGGTGTACACTAGCCTTTAACAATCACTTCAAAATAAAGAATTGTATTTACAAGCACTTTTTCTTTCCTCGGTGTAAATAAAGTAAGAGGGACGCTTAATGGCGTATCAAACCAGTCGGTCAGACCTAAGACTCGCGTTTGCTCCTTGCTCGTTTCTTTCTTTCACCAGATGGAGGATGATGGGCTTCACGGTAACGACGACACTCGCTGCTTCATCCTTTCTACCCTGGCAGCCCAGCGGACGTCCAGGACGGCGTGTGTCCTCTGTCATCAGGCCCTCCTCGTCTTTGACCGCTACCCTCTACTAGACGGGACCTTCTTCCTCACACCTATCCAGCATGCCAAAGCTGCCATTCCTGTAAGTATGTGTTTTCTTTAGGGAAAGAGATCTGTGTGTACGTATGTCTGTATGTGGAAGGTGGTTATTTGTGGAGGGGAGCCCTAGGTTGATGTTTGTGGAGAACCGATTAGTCGCAGCCTGGTTTATACCTAGATAATGCTTTTTGTCACATGCAGAGATCATTTACGGCTCACATAGAACTAATAAAGCATTTCGATTACTGGAAACACCTCAAAGCCCTAAATATATACTCGCTGGATCGGAAAGAGGTAAATATGATAATATATACATGGAAAGTACTCGAGGGTCTTGCCTCAAATCTGCATGTTACCATAGCATCATCCTGGAGTGAGCGATATGGGAAGAAGTGCAAAATATACTTAGTGAAAAGCAAGCACACCGTGGGCACCATAAGAAAACATTGTATCAACATCTTACCAGAAGATATCAGAAACACTGGACAAGTGCCGAAGTCTTCGAGATGAAACTGGACAAGTACCTCCATCAGGTACCAGACCTGGTGTAGATATGTGAGCAAGTGGTCGCCAACAGCAACAGCCTGGTTGACCAGGTAAGCACCAGTCAAGCCTGGCCCAGAGTCCGTGAATAGAAAAACTATTGAGACTCGTCAAAGGTATCTTTATAAATGTCTGGTGCTGGTGAGACGTGGGGGGGTTGGATAATTAGATCAGGCTTTCAAAGTCAAGAACAGTTTCAGTGGTTTCTCCAGTAGACTTAAAATTTATCACAAAGAGACTCCCATATGATAGCAAAAATTAGCACCACTATTAGATCTTTCAATAAGACGAGTAAACATGGTTGGTGCCTTTTCGGTTCCTGCTTTAGCATTTAGTCCCAGGGAAAATTGCTGTTAAACAGTCTTTATTACCACACATAAACTTGTCCCATCTCTGGAAAAATATTGACGTTTTATGTAATTTCCTCATATTAAGTAACGTACTAAGTTTTAGACCAGTAAAAAAAAATCTTGCAATCTGCTCACTCTTAACTTATGTTACATTGCCGACACGGCCTCCCCACGATATTCTTGGGTGACCTTAAGATGCTTGGGGAAGAAGGTTCTGCAGCTGACTTTGGCCACCCCTAACCACACATTTCTCTCCATTCGCTCTCGTGAGTGATCGTAAAGGGTTTATATAAGAAATATATTTCATGCACTGTGTGATCTAAGACCGTAGAAACATTGAACATGTTCATACCCTGGTTACCTCCCCTTGGATGTATTCATACCCTGGCTGCCCTCCCTTGAACGTGTTCATACCCTGGTCACCTCCCCTTGAACGTGTTCATACCGTGGCCACCTCCTCCTTGAACGTGTTCATACTGTGGCCACCTCCCCTAAAACGTGTTCATACCCTGGCCGCCTCCCCTTGAACGTGTTCACACCCTGGCCACCTTCCCTTGAACGTGTTCATGCCCTGGTCACCTCCCCTTGAACGTGTTCATACCCTGGCCACCTCCCCTTGAACATCTGCATAAGTGGCCACCTCTTGAACATGTAAATATGTGGCTTCTTGAACATGTGCATATGTGGCCAGCTCTTGAACATGTGCATATGTGGCCACCTCTTCAACATGGGCACCTTTTCAACATGTGCATACGTGGCCACCTTCCCTTGAACATGTTCATAAATGACCACTTCCCCTTGAACATGTGCATACGTGGCCACCTCCCCTTGAACATGTGCATACTTGGCCACCTTCCCTTGAACATGTTCATACATGACCACCTCCCCTTGAACATGTGCATACGTGGCCACCTCCCCTTGAACATGTGCATACGTGGCCACCTTCCCTTGAACATGTTCATACATGGCCACTTCCCCTTGAACATGTGCATACGTGGCCACCTCCCCTTGAACATGTGCATACTTGGCCACTTCCCCTTGAATGTAAATATATCAAAGGTCAAGGGTGATATAGACTCTTCCCCGCCTCCCGAACACCTCACTGTTCTATGACTTAAAAGCTACCAGTTCTTCTTGCCCCTTGGACCCCTCCTGTACCCCTGCTCTTTAACCCCATAGAAAACACCTAAGCTCCCAGACACTTGGAAGCCACCTAGGCCCCAGGGCCCATGGGAACCACCTAAGGTCCTAGGAACCCTTGGAAGCCACCTAGGCCCCAGGACCTTTGGGAACCACCTAGGTCCTAGGAACCCTTGAAAGCCACCTAGGCCCCAGGACTCTTGGAAGCCACTTGGTCCACTGAACCCTTTGAAGCCACCTGGGTCCTTGTGTCAAGGAAAAGGGGGAATAAACTCCCCTACTAAACAAAAGACGTAGAAAAAATAAATAATGCCATAAGATAAACAGGATAGAGATAGCGTATAAATGCACACAACTTTATTACTGAAGGGAAAAATGAAAATGCATGAATAATAAGCACAAACAAAACTATAAAATTAATTACTTTAAAATTAGGTAGCACAAGAATAACAGGAATCCCACGATATTTACGTGTATATAATACTAAAACCAGCGGATATACAAAGACATGGGATTTAAGATCCCTAAAAAGTGAGTACTCGCCTATTTGTGGTTGCAGGGGTCGATCCTTAGCTCCTGGCCTGTGTGTGTGTGTGTGTGTGCGCGCGCCGCGCGGTCCACATGGTTTGTTCCTCATATGTAACTCTTGAATTTCTTAAATTATTATGAGTACTACCACATCCTCTACTAACTTTGTGAATATCATGCAAATTTTGTGTAGACTGGTTGGCAGCAGAAGTAATCACCATTGCTAATCTAATACCCTGCAGTTTTTTTTTTTTTGTAGATTTTTAGCAGCAGAAATTACTGTCATAGTCCCTCTAACTTTACCTGTTTCATCTTCTGCAGGTTCGTGTAGAGGGTCGGCAGCAGTACCTGGCGGCAGTGTGCATGGGGTGCCTGGAGGGGTGGTCAGTCAGTCTCCGGTGTGCCTACTGCAGTGCCCGCTGGAATGGCTCGGCACTCATCCTGGGTACCATGTACTCATTTGACATCTTCGCTGCCATGCCCTGCTGTGAAAGTAGGTTAAAAGTGAGTATCCAGCAAGTTACTTGGAGTTATAGCTGTGGTGTTACTTGGTCCATACAGCGAACTCAGCCAGCCCCCTCCTCTGACCTACCACTCCGTCTTGATTATACAAAATCCACTTCACTTTCTTTTCCTGAATCTGACCTTTTTTTTTTTTTTATAGTGCTCAAAACACTGCAGGGCTTCCACGTTTGTGCGTGTATAGTAAAGTGGTAAATGTACAGCATCACATTTGCAGAAATGTTTCCTAGTAGTTCTGTCAGAGAAGATGTAGTAAGGGAAAGGAAGAAAGGGCAGAGGCTACGGGAAAGGAAGAAAAAGAATTCCCTCCCTACTCCTCCTCCTCTCCCCTCTACCTCCTCACTCCATACATTTACCCCCTTCTCTCCTCCATCTTTGCTCCCACCCCCTCATCTATTCCTCTGCCCTTCTCACTTTCTTCCTTTACAAACCCTCTCCTACTTCCTCAATTCATCCTTCTTCCCTCCATCTACCCACACTAGCCCTCCTTTCCCCTACCCCTCCTCCATCCCTCCCTCTATCCAAGTCCATCTTTATCCCCAGTTTTTCTCAGACAGTATTCATTGCAGTAGTTTAAAATAGCACCGTGAATGGTGCACTCTGTTTTGACGATAAATCTCTTGCCATTATCGACTTTCCGCAAGATTCCATCTTATATCCTGGAGATACAAGAACTTGGCAGCATTCCCACTACTTGCCTGCACCACCACTCCACCAGCTTGTTACTCAGCAGCAGCGCTATCACCTTGCTGCTCCATCCACACCACCCACCTGCTGCTACACCACCACCAAACACATTAGTGCTAAGCAACACTCAGAATGACCTTTACTAATAATCAAGGCACAAAAGCAAAGATGAAAAATAAAGGAGTGTATGTAAATTTTATGTTCACAGAAAAAAAGAATTATTTTTGGAATCTTGACAGAAACCTACACTAAGGAATCATTGATTAGACAGTTAAATATACTTCAAGATTTTAAATTGCGAAGATGTGATAAAAGTGGAGTGATAAAGTTTAATGCAGTGGTGCTGTGGGTACAGTAAGAGGAAATTGTAATAACATCTGTGGGACTGTTTGACATTTTACCAGAAGATATCAGAAACACTGTCGGAACAAATGTAGAAGTCTTAAAAAAAAAAAAAAAACTCGACAAGTACATCCACTAGGCTGTGATGGATATGTGGGTCAGCTGGCCGCCAGCAGCAACAACCTAGTTGACCAGACAAGCGGCCCAGAGCCAGACTGGGGGAGAAGGAAAAAATGGAAATGCGTCAAAGGTATGAAATGAGTAGAAGATTAAAATATGATTTACATAGTTGTACTGAATTGTTAAAATTGGCATCTGATTTAACTAATTCAGTGGAGGTGCTTGGAATAAAAGTGGATAATTAAAGTCTAGTAATTATCTTCGTATACATACAGTACATTACATTATCAGCGACATCATCTGGTTTCTACAGTCTTATTCCTCGTCTCATTTCCCATCTTCCCTGTTGATTTCCATTCATACCTCAACACACTCTCTGCTTCTAATCACATTCCTATACTGTCCATCCTTTCCTTTTCTGTTAACACGCCTCCCTTTTCTCTCAATTCCTCCATCACTTTTCTGCACTCCTGCATTTATCAACTTTCCCATAGTCCTCCCTCATTCTACCCCCCCCCCCCACCCACCCCGTTAACTACTACTTTCACCATTTTCGTAAATTCTGTATTTACTGAGTGTGGGACAGGGCATTCTGAGCGATGGTAATTCCCAATTGATAGTAACTCCAGCTCATATAGAGCAAAGCCTTTTAAGCTTTTGTATCTACTGAACCCTTAGTGGAAAGTTCGATGATATTCACAGTCTGTTACAGAAGTCTCTCAGCTCAGCCTAATAGGTTTCATATGCCAATTTGTGTGAATGAATATGACAGAGAAGCTGCTTTAGCTCCTACAATATAACCATCATGTAGAATAGGGCAGCCACACTGATGGTGTTCACTCAGTGTAACTATAATGCAGAATATGGTAACCACATACTGCGGGTGTTCACTTATACTATCATACGAAACAGGGTAGCCGAACTGGGTGTTTACGCAGAATAAAGTAGCAGCATATGCGAGTACCCAAGTTTGTTAAATAAAAAACTGGCCTTCCATTTATTCTCCCTTATTCTGTGCCTCCTTTCCCAAATTCTCTAATATCCCAATCTGTCTCTCTACAGCCTGTCTTCCTTTCCACTTCCTCTCTTTTCTTCACTCTTTTATGTTCCTCTCTTGTCTCTTTCCTCCCACCCCTGTTTTTCTCATCCCCCCCACCCCTTCTCCCTCACCTGCTCTCTTCCCCCTCTCACACTGCAGTGTGCGCAGTCCCGCGTCGTTGGATCAATATATGAGAACCTCGCATGCTTGTAGGTCGACTGGTCATTGACCTAGCTGCTGGCCCACCCTGCCATATACACTTATTGATGGTCTCATTTCAGTCTTGCTTCCACTGCTCCTGTTACTGTTGGTTGTACCATTATTATTGACAGTTGTGCTGTTTGCATTGTTCCTGCTGTTACTTGTACTGTTAATGATATTTCTCCTGTCATTTTTACTGATGGATGTGCTGTTGCTTACATTGGTCCTGTAGTTGTACTGTTACTTGCATTGCTCATACTGTTTTTTATGCCGTGTCAAGGTAGGGCAAAGTGCGTTTTTATTTAACAGATAAAATAGTAGGTACTGAAACCTCATACAGTCTACAAATTTAAAATGCTAGTTTATTGTACGTGAGAAAGGCTTGGATTGATTTTGCTCCTTGTAGGTGTCAATTTTGTTGACATTTTGGGAAAATTGAATAACAGTATACGTACTGGTGTTCATGAGATAATTTGTGAATGCCTCAACTGATCAACTTCAAACCTTCATCACCGATAATACGAGCATGCATTTTATTAGTGCCATGTATTTTGTGATAGTTTGTATGCAATAAGTAGAGAATGCCTCTTCAGGTTGGCTTTTTAAAATGTTGTAGTTGGTATATCTTAGGTAGTGGAAGGATTGAATTGGGATTGTGCTATGTAATTGTCAATTTGCCATTTTCATTGAAGAAACTGGGATAAAGTACTGGTTTCCATGTGATAACTTGTGAATCCTTCTTCTGACAAGCTTGAAGTCTTCACTGTTGATATTAAATAACATTGGAAACATGCAACTCTCTCTCTCTCTCTCTCTCTCTCTCTCTCTCTCTCTCTCTTTCTCCATCATTCCTTTTGCATGCATTGAGCTAAAGGTGGCTTGGCGGTTGAGATATGGGGATAATTTTCTCCAATGGTGCAGTGACCAAAACGCATCTAATTTCTAGAACACTTAAAAAGCAGTATAATAATTTTTTTGTCCTGATTGGTTGGTGTATGTTGTATGTATATGAGAAATATTAGTTTGTCAAAATTTCTATTAATGATATATATATCAAAAGGTATATGGTAAAATGTCCAGACAGAGATTTCTAACAATTTCAAATGTTACTTGAAAAGTTAAGATGTTCTCAGTGCCTCACGAAGTCCTCTTCCTCTCTCCTTGCAGTGTAGCAAATGTGAGGCTGTGGTTATCCCCCCGGACCAGAGGTTGAGTTTCTTCAGTGATTACAGCAGAACTCATGCATGTCCATCTTGTGGCCATGTAGACCACCACTTTGTCAAGCCCTTAAGTTCCTTCATCAGAGATGACAAACAGTCTTGGTAGTCCCAGCGCATCCGCCTCCCTCGAGCCATCACAGCTCGTGGTATGTATACCAGTAACACTCCCAGTTGTGGCTTCTTAAATGTAAGTGTAGATATACACAATGAATACACGTGCGCGCGCGCGCGCACACACACATGCACACACATACACGCACATATACGCACGCACATATACGCACGCACATATACGCACGCACATATACGCACGCACATATACGCACGCACATATACACACGTACATATACACACGTACATATACACACGCACACACACACACGCGCGCTTATACAACAGGCCTAGTGTCTAATCGACATGTGCCTAGGAAAAAATGGTGACTAACACGCACAAACACACAAACAGTGCACACACACACACAATACACACACACACACAATACACACACACACACACACACACACACACACACACACACACACACACACACACACACACACACACACAGTGCACACACAATGTGCACACAATACATACACACACACACAACACACACACACACACACACGAGTGGTTTTTGGGACTTGAGCTGTTGGAGTTTGGGCAGGGTAATATTTTGTGAAGGGATTCCGGGAAACCAGTTAGCCGGACTTGAGTACTGGAGGTGGGAAGTAAATGCCTGCACTTTAAAGGAGGGGTTTGGGATATTTGCTGTTTGGAGTGACAGCTGAATTGTCTCAGTGTGTGTGTGTTGTGTGCGCGCGCGCATGCAGTACAATTACAAACAGGCGATCTTAATGCAGAACAAGCCACATAGGGACAAATCTTTAGCTCAGGATCTTTTGCATAGTTAGGAGCTATGCAATGTGTAAGACCAGCAACAGATTGGTAAATTCTCCAGACAAGCAGGAGCGTTCAATGCCGGCCCCGCGCACACTCCACTCCGCTGTGAGAGGGGCCAGTGCTGATATGCTTCTGCCTGGCCTCCTAATTTCCATTCCTCTATCCGTTGCTAGTCTTGCAACATTGCATAGCTCCTGATTACACACTAGAATGGGAAAGGTCTTGATTTCCATCCCCACATGGCTTGTTCTATATAATATAAACCCTCCAAGTTGTCTGTGTAGTACAGTAGTTGTCTCACGTTTGGATTGGTGGTTAATACTCTTTACAAATATTGATTTTATGAAATTAGTGCTTCAGATAGTAAACAGGCTGCATGATTTTATTTTTACAAAAGTTTGGTGTACATAGTACAGTGACATAGTGTATTTTTTCTCTCGCTTTCAGGGCCAATGGCAGGCGTGAGTGCACCAACAGAACACAACCCTCAAAACGTTTTCGGAGAAGAGTGTGTAGAGTGAACTAAGAGGCATCAAGAAGCAAGAAACAGTTAAGTGTTAAGCCATCATAGAGCAAGTAATCGTTGAGACATGGGTTGCCTGGAGAGAGCGTTGTTGTTTTTTTTTCTTCTGAGAACTTTTGTAGAAGAGCATTTTGTCTTCATAAAGGTCATTAGCAGTCACTGAGTGGAGAGAACTTAGTGGGGTTTACATTCCAGAAGACTTTTTTTTTTCTTTTTGTCTGGCATCCATTAGAGGAAGTAGGGAAGGAAGCTTGTAGAAGTTGCAGATGAACTGGTTTTGAAAATCTAATAAACAACATGATGAGTTTGTGGATGAAACTGGTTTTGAAAATCTAATAAAAGACAAGATGAATTTGTGGATGAAGAGTGAACATGTGTGGAAGGAGGTGAAGAACCTCGGCTGTTGGCCCCATCACAAGAGCTGAAATTTAGACAAGATAGCCTGACAATGACAAATGGAAAAATTGGCCTTTTTTTAAAATTTGATATTTTTTGGAGGTTGCTTTTGGAATGAATCAGTCTGCATACCATCAGGGTTACATCATGCCTAACAAAGGATCCATATGCCATGTGCAAGAATCTTCCTACACATTTGTGGCATAAAATAAAATGCTCATGTGGGCTACTTGGTGTTTTTTGATGTCCAGTTATGGTGTCTGGCGGGGAAATACATGGACATTGTAAACAAAAACTAACCTATAAGGATCAGGAAAATGTCTTTTTGCTTTTTTTGGGGGGTCCACTGGAAACTCGTGGACGGATGTAAATACATAGCGATTAGTTGTATTCTAATTGTGTGATCTATTGTGCTGTCTCCAACTTTATTCCGTAAGTCCGAATTTCGATGTTTCAATGTAGAAATAGTCAAAGATTCCTTGCTAACATAGATCCAGAGACAAATCTCAACAACCCCGTTTGAAATTCGCCAAAACAATGAGAGACATGACAGAACTAAAGATGTGGATGATATTGAACATTGATACTAACTTTGTGAGGATAAGTGGAGGAAGGACAGGAGAAATGAGATATTTGAAATATTAATGAGAATAGAGGAAAGTTGGAAAAGTACAGTCTGGTAGAGAACTCTGCGAGTTATTATGAGGAAGTGCTGAATAGAAGAAAAATAAATAGGGTTTTGGTGTCTTTGTGAAGGAGAAACATGAAATTGTCTAGAACTGGAGATCATGATCAGAGGCATTAAGAACAGGCGGTGCAAAAGAGAAGGGAGAAATCTTTTTCATAAGTCTCAGACCTTTCCCTCCGAGGTGATGTCTTTAATGGGAAAGAAGCTAGGACAAGTTAAAAAAAACAATCAGAAAAAATTATAATTAAAAGAAAATGAATGGCTTGTGACAAACAGAATACAGTTGGGAGAAGAGAAGATAAGGGCAATAACTGAGAGGAGCAGGGGCAGAAGAGATGAATAGTACAAGAGGAAATCTGAGACACTCGTGAGAGTTGTCTTGGAACTGAAGAGCCCGTATCTATCTTGGTTGCCTGAATGACGAATGTTGAGGCCATCGAATGCTACTACAGCCCCACCCCCAACAGGACATCTTGAGAACCACTGGACCACCACTGCAATGATCTGCATGGTTCACCTTGGTCTCGTCTTTGGTTCGCTGCCGTTTTCTGGCTTCCAGTGGTCCTCTGTTGACCACTGGACCGTTGCAGATCACTCATGGCCACGGTCCTGCTCCTGATTCTGTGCCCGTCATCTCGGCTCCAAGCTGATGATAGCAGTAGCCTCGTGGAGGGATAAATGCCTGTAAGTTAGTTCAATGTGCACTCTTTTCTTTGTAATGTAGCTCCTAATGAAGTATATTTCCTGAAATGACAGTGAATCAGCTTGTATGTAGGGTGAAAATAAGAACTTTTTAAAACTCTCCATATTGAATGTGTAAGGTTTTTTTACTAGTAGCTTAAAGATGTACCGTGTGGACGGTTCTGCTCCCGGCCACTGCCTGGAAAGGGATAAATTTATAAAATCCAGAATAGTCATCTGTACACATCTGGCTATGATTGTAACATATCTAGTTATAATTGTTAGAGAAACGATAAAGGGTCAGTTGCAGAAGCGTTCACACAGTGGCTTCTGTTCATGCAGAAAAAACTGGAGATGCAGCCTGAGAAGTCGGGTGAGGATGGTTTTAGTCACTCCTCAGAATTTCAGAATCTGACAGAATATTGAGAAGTATTCCATCAAAGTAGGCATAAAATGGTGAGAAATCAAATTTGTGCTTGAGTCAAAGGGCTTTAATTTGACAAAACATCTTTATAGTCTTATCTGTTCAGGGATTTAATGTAAGGATAAGTTAGGTGTAAATATTGCTTTGGAGAAACATCAGTTGCAAAGTCAACCAGCCATAACCCATTTAAGTCCCGTAGTGATTGAGTGATGTATAGCACGAGAGGCACAAGCCAGAACATATAGATTATATATATATATCAAAGTTTAATCCATCACAGGAACCTTTTATTAAGAGCCACAAGTCATGAAATTATTTTATTGTCGGTATTACACATGACCACCAAGTAAATCCCGACATTCTTTAGATTTAAAAGTGCTTGACTGACTATTGGCAAGGAGAGCTGGTACTGAAGACCCGTCCATTATGTCCCTAACTCATTGACTCTTGGGTTCATCCATGATATCCTACTTGTGTTGGACTTTGTTATGCTCTAGAAGACCTGGAGTGACTCAAGCAGCCTGACTAACCTAATCAGCACGGATTTGTATTTTTCTGACCCTGTATAGCTAATATATTATTTTTCACCCACAATTTGACAACTCTTTTGAGACTGGGAGAACCTCTGACCTCACCTGACCTGACTTCTTCGGCGCAGACTTCAGTCGTGTGTGCATCGCTAGGATAAGCTATTTGGGACCTGATTCTTGTGACCAAACCAGCGATTGTCAGTATCCATGTAGGGTCATTGACTTGTTAACTTGCAAAGCTTTAATTTGTGTGAGGACGTAAAGTTGAGGAAACAGGAGGGAGGGAGGTGGTCACATGTGGACTGAAGTGATAGATATTGGTGCTTCTTGCTGTACCCTCTCGTCAGCAATTTTCCTAGTATTCCTAGTAGTAAGTATTTAAATTTCTAGCATTACAACTTGTACTCTTCAATTTGAAGCACATAATTATTAAAATAATGCTCACTTGTTCATTGATTCTAAAGTCTGAATCCCATATTTTCAATACAACTGTCTGTCAAATAGGGTGACATGTACAGCTGGTAATATCTGTCCACGGACGATTATTTTCGGATATGAGTGACCAAATAGATGACCTCCTTGTTCCTCTGCTTACAACCTAACTTCTGGTACTTGAGGACTTTTCACACTACCTGATTACTTGGCCATGACTCATTGTAAACAGTCTGTTGTTACTTAGGGAATAGCTAAACGTAATGTAAATTGTATATATTATCAGCTTGGCAAGTAAAATGTGGTGGTCAAGCTTAGCCTCATGATGGGAACTGTGAAGTCTGGGTGAGCGAACACAAATTACAGCTTTTGTGATAGTGATTATTGAGGAGATGAGCAGTTCTAGACCTGAGCAGAGGCTTAATTATTGAAGAATTATAGTCCTGTAAAAAACAGATCTGATGTTACAGGAGTACAATGTTCTGGAGGCAACAGCATCCATCACTAACACAAACTTCTTTGTATTGCTAACTAAAAGTCGATTAGTTTTACTTGATGGTGTCTGAAAAAAAGTTTCAAATGTTAGAAAGGGAGCAAAGTAAATTGTGTCGTGTGCAGAGGTTAGAGTTGCGCTCTCTTCGCAAGTCGTGATCAGCTGTGTTGTCGCGAAGCAGAAATGGCTTGCATTTCAGCTGGGTGAAACCTGGGCAAAAATAAGATGCAGACCGCAATTCCTCTTAGGGCCAAACTTCTGCAGTAAAAACCGGCAGAGTATCGCCCGATGTATCTGAGTCATGTGTTTGGTATTTGTCCGGGTTTGACGGCAGTTTGTATAGGCTAATTTTTATCAGCTCAATTGTGAATATTGTTTGGTATTTCCGTAAGTAGACCAAGATAAAGGAACACGAGTCACACTTTTGTTTGCTTGGCTAAGTTTGATAAGTTTCTGGAAAAAAAGAATAATTTGTCGAATTAGACTGTGCCTTGCTATGGATAAATGAAAAAAAAATGTGTTGCTTTGTTTTTATTTTATTTTTCCAAATTGGCTTCATTTGTAATTACAATATCATTCTGGAAAATAAATTTACTTTTTTACCCCAATTGGCTTTGGTATTCTTTTAATTCCATTTTTATTTCTTTGAAACTCGCACTTTCTTGCCCATAAAGGGAAGAATGCGACAACCATATAATTTATCAATCAAAATTTTGAAGAATATTGAACTTAAAAATAAATTTTAATTATGTTGATAAATGTGTTGGTGTCTGAAAATTTTGTTGAGGGAAATCTAAGACTTTTAACAACCACTTTCAATGAAAGGAAGCCAAAATACGGCATCTCGGCTTACATCAATTGGTGATGAGGGTTTGGGAGTTGAATTTGGGATATTTTGATTTGAGACTGGTTAAAAACACTTAGTTTAAAGACAAAAAATTTTACGAAAAAATTTTGTAAAGGGCAATATTAAAGGAGTATAAATGCAGATTTGAAAACCATCATTTTATTTGATATTGAAAACAATCATAGATCCACAAAAATTCATTTTGGGTTTTAAATTTGGTAACCTGTATTTAGCCCAAAACACCAAAAATCTGTGAATAGAAATGTTTTATAAAAGGAGGGACTTTAAAAATAGTTTTTTAAAAAAGGGAAGAGTTTTTCCTTTAAATTTTTTCAAATTTGAAATGTATAGTAAAAAGATTAAAAATTTGTAGAATATGGCAAATTTAAATTACCTCCTTAGAAACTTCTGAAAATGTATGGGTTATTCAAAAGTGTACAGTAATAGGGAAGGCTGGCATTCCCAAAAAAGAGGCAGAAAATATTGGAAGAAGCCGTCAATGGGGCAAATTTTGGGGGGAACGGAACGCAGCAAAACCCCGGTAAGGGCGCGTCTGGGTATGCAAGTAAAAAATGGGCTTTACGACAAAAGTAGAAGCTAAGTAGAACCCAAAGGCAACTAAATATTTCTTTCTACATCCCCCTCTCCCCCCCCCCCACCCCTTTCCACACACAATTACAATGTTCACTCACCACTCTTAATACTATCTTTAAATTTGAAAACGAAAAACTTAACCACAGTACTTTTTAAAATTTTGTGACAATTTGAACTCCTTACATACACTTGACAACTTTTCTTTTTCAATACTTGAAAAAAAAATTCCCTTTAGTATTCCTTTTCCCTTTTAATTGAATTACTTTAGTTTTTATTTTTTCCCTTCGCCTTTACAAGTTCAGGTTTCCCTAAAATAGACATCATTTTTCGTTTAATTTAAGTTTCTATTAATTAAGAGCCTACCCTTTAAAACATGGTTAAAACTGTTAAATTTTTTGCATTTGTAAATTTCACCGAGTCATAAATTTTTTACCTTTTCATGAATTCTCGAAAGCATTTGCTTTCATTAGTTTCTTGTTATTGTGTCGTGAGTTGATTGTGATGAGAAGTGAAAACTTATGTGATTTTCATTTTGCTTCTTCTATATGAACTTTTTTTTCCCCGACTTTGTCACCTGACAGAGTAGGTGCAATCCATGAGTAAACTTAAGAAAATTACTAGGAGTTAACTGCCCTCTCACGAAGGCGTCTCTAGATTTGGCGATACAAATATTGATAACTTAAGGATTAAAAAAGTTACTAAGGATGTTTTGATAATTTTAAGGATTAAAAAAGTTACTAATGATGTTTTGATAATTTAAGGATTAAGAAGTTACTAAGAATGTATGTTACTGTATGTTGCTACGATTTCATAATACTGAATTAAGTTTTTGATATTGTGGCAGCAAATATATTAAAAAACAATAATATTCAACAAGATTTTGCCAACATTACAAAACATTTAAAAATAAAGTAAAAAAAAAAAAATTTTTTTTGAGTCAAAATATATAAGCTTAATTAAAGAAATTAATTAAAGAAATATGTCAGCCGTTAATAAAGATTGAGTGGTATGTTCCTACCCAACACATTACATTATAGCAATTAAACTTTTATGAAATATGTGCATAAATGACAGTTGTCTGTACTGTGCTCTAGTCTGGTCTGTTGTAAGTTCCCAAAGGTGTGTGAGAGAGCATAAGAAAGTGAATGGGATCGAGAGAAAGGAACCTGTGCAGAAATTATGACTGAATAGGTGCTAAGTATTTAAGTTCGACTAGGCATTTAGTACTGAGTGAGAGGCACGCATGCGTACACAGAGGAGCCTGGACCAGGAGTCGACCTACTCCCGCAATGCGTGGCGCCGCACACGCGCGCACACGCGCACACGCACACACACACACACACACACACACACACACACACACACACACACACACACACACACACACACACACACACAAAGCGTCTATCGACAAGTGCATTTGACAATACCTAGCACATACAAAACACGAGCACGCAACATACAACAGGCCAAGTGTCTATCAACAAGTGCCTTTGACATTAACTAACAAATACACACACTAGTGAGAAAATTGGCTGAAGTGATTCAACAAGTGAAGAGGAACTTCATAATTCGATAAACCAAGCTATCCTCATGAGAATAAGGAATATTATTAGGTGTCAGCTAGTCGGAATGTAATGTATAGCCACGAGAACACATACATATTCCTGTGTGGGGTGACGTGCAAGTAATATTTTTCTTGTAGCAGTTCAGATTGAAGCAGGCGGATAGCCTACCTGACCTGCTATGGGTAAAATGCTACTTGTATAGGACAATACACTAAGGATTAAGAAAATTAATGTGTTCACATGGCTGTAAGTTACATTTCAACCAATTGCCATTAAATAACAATAGTATTTATGGAAATGAGGACAGGATGGATAAACAGATTGGGTGGACCTAGTTAGAGAGAAAGTAGTGTTGCAGTAAGGAGAAGAGCTAGAGACAAAGGCCGATAAAGCAATAGTTTTGCAGTGAGGAAAAGACAAATGTAATGAAGGAAGCGGAATATAAGGGTCTAGGATCATAAAGACTAGATTAAAATCAGAGCAGAAGAGCAGGATACAAAGGACACGTTGTAAAGCAACAGACCAGGTAGGCAGTAAAGGATATTGTAGTGAATGCTAGAAAAGGAGAGTGATAGTGAGTGAAAATGACTAACAAGTAACCATCACTAAAGACTTAGGATAAGTCTTTATGCCCAGTCACTGTGTTTGCAGACCCTCAGTAATATTTCCTTGGCAGACTGTGCTATATATAGAAAAATAAAGTTTCCGCTTAATCTTTACTTATTCTAAAATTCCACTTTCCTAAACATTACTTCGATCCTCGCATGCCTATAAAAAAAAATACCCATATTGACGACAAACTATAATTCTTACATGCAACCTTAGAAATTACTGAAACAATAGATAACTACCATCTAATCTTTAAAGCTGACAAACATAATTATCAAATCTGAATCATATTCCCATCAATTTTTGTATAGTTTATCAATATTCTTAAAGTACAGCTTTGCAATGGCATTAATATAAAAAAGGCTTCCATCCTCTTGATCCCCGCAAACCAGTCCCTATTCAAGTCCTCATTCTGTAAAATTATCTGGAATCTGTTAAGGTGTTTGTATTCAAATGCATCAGTAAGGCTTGTAGTTTCATACTGGTGTTTTTGTGTCCCTCTAAAACAGTGCAAGTTTAACTTAACTTCCAACAGTCAGTTTAATTATTGTGGCATTGAAAACTTGAAGTATAACGTATAATACGTGTAATAAATGACGAGACTCAAATTTAAAATAGACATGTCTAGACGGCAAAACACGTTTAAAAGCTTAGTGTTATAATTGATGCTAGGAAATGAAGATGTAGGTAGCATAGAAAGGTTAGAAAGAAAAAGAGTTGAGAACAGTAAATACATTATCTGTTTTAAACGAGAGGAAAAAAATGATTGAAGACATACATGTGGAAATTATAAAACTGGTGGACATCATCGTTGGGTATATAGAAAATCAAAAGATAAAAAATGAGAAATAATTTAAAGATAGTGTGTGACCCTCGTGGGTTTAGCGTTTAGTTATGATTATAATAACATAAAGATGGTGTGAGATGAATATGGAGAAATAAAATTCAGAATGTTTCATGTGATAGGATATGAGTAACCATTAATGAATACCATGTTTGGGAAAAGTACAACTAACCCATAATTCAGAAAGGACAATGTTAGATGTTTTCGTTCGCCCAGAACAACTGGTAATGATCCAGAGCGGACAGTAATGTCTAAAATGTCCACTCCAAATTGTGGCAGAGCTGTAAATGAGGGAGTTCAGATGGTGTAGTGGCCGTGAAGAGGATAGGGAATTAATCCATCGCAAATCTTTAATAGTTAAACAACGTAGTAAGAAAGGCACTGAAAGTAAAATTAGACAGTGAGAGACAACCTGCATATTTGCAAATTGTACAGTGAGTATAATGTAATAATTAGTAATGATAAGAGATAAGTTTGTGGCTACAGTTTTATAGTGAACGGTGTAGGGGATAATAGCTTAGAAGTACAGAAGATGGAATAATTTCAGTGATTATTTAAAGCGACAAGTGTAAGGTACGGCTCGAGACTTAAATGATTATGCTGAAACAGCATTAATTAAAGTCGAAGTTCAGACGTAAACTTGTGCTGTTCTGGACTTAATTTTAAGACTTGTTCTCAGTATCCATTGCTTGTACTGGCTTTGTTAAGGCTTTCACTTGTAACTTTTTTTTATGCTGTAATACTATATGTAACCACCTATTTTTCTCTCCTGTGGCACATGGGGGTTAGTGTTTGTTTTTTCTGCGTTGATTTATATTTTAACGAATTTTATTTTTGTAACATTTAGCAATGCTTGTTAACAAGTGGGGATTACATTAATGTGCAGTGTTCTTTGTTCTCGGGGGAAGGCTAAAGTTCAAGAAGATGGGAACTTCACTAACTTAGGAAAATAAAGATAAGAAAATTTATTATTTTTTTTTATCAATTTACATAGTTTTAGGAGGGGGTTCCAGGGGGCCCAAACCCTTTTTGTTCCCAGACTTTTTAAAATCATTTTACACTTTTCACCACAGAATCTTACAGCAAGGAACATACGGCATTAATTATATCCCCTAGTGCTTAAAAATTTTAGAAGTTGAATAGCAG